CCCTGAGAAGACTGAGTGGGAAGGCCCTGGCCCCATTCAACAGGCTTGGTCTTCCCAGGAGACTATGGAGAAGTCTCGGCCCAACATGGTACCACTCTCAGAGCTTGCAAGAATGGCATTGGGATGCATGTGTCCTTCAGTCCAACTGGTAAATACAGTGGCAAGATATGGCACATGATCACAGACTGATCCTTAGGGGCCAGCCAGGAATGAGACAGCATTCGGTAAAGCCATCAGTGAGGATGAGTCCATAAAAATAGAAGTGACAGGAAGTCTGACAAATGCTAGGATTTCTGACAATTATGAAACTCATGTACCCACTTCTTTTCAACCAAGCATCACAAATCATGTAATGACAGGGTTGTCTTCTTCCTCCACATTCCATAGCTGTCCCATAGATTTCGTAAGAGACTTAGCAAGGCTGAAAATCTGAGTTCCTTGTCTAAGTTTTTAAAACAATAGCACAATGTGACTGTGATCTCATAAAGCTATATTTTTACTGTCATGTTGAGTGTTTAGTAGTGCCTGGTAATTGCACTGTACTTCTCATCTGCAAGACAGTAAACACCCGATACCCATTAACTCTAATTCTCCAACTCCTCTGCCAAGACCAGAGACTGTGTTGTGCCTCCATGGCCCCACCGGTTCATCTGTGTTACTGAAGTGTCCTCTGAGGGGGCAAAGCTGGGAAAACGACACCCGCTCTAAGAATGGCATACTGTGGGCTAGGTAAAATGTCTGTTATCCACAGAAGCAAGATCACGAAGGATTAGTGTTTCCTGACTGCAGCAACCAAACGGCTGCCTTTCAGCCTCTGCACTATCACTGGTTACTGTGTTTGATTACAGATTAGATTTCTGGAAACCTTAGGAAATCTTGTCTGTTAAAGGATGCAGAATGCTGTTTCTGTTGCATTGTCTGCATTTTACAAAGAAAAACATTTCCAGTTCTTTGGTAGCAGTTTTTGGCATCCTGTTTTTTCTTTCTAAATGTCTGTTCTTCTGTTCTATAGTCTGTTCGCTCTGCTGAGAAGTTCCTTTGCTGTGAGGTCCCCTAGTTCATATAATAATAGTTGTCAATTCTGGACAGTTATTTTTGTGTTTTTAGGATTGTATCCAGGAAGTTTTTTGCCTATGCCTGTGTTTTGTTTTCTATGTTTATTTCTAGTGATTTCAGCATTTCAAGTTTTAATTTAATGCTTGTTCATTTTAATTTAATGTCCATGTTTAATTTTTTTCTGGGTGAGAGATACCATATTGATACCATCTTTCTTCTTCATGTCAGTATCTGGTGTTTGAAGCATCATTTATTAAATAGGATGGGTGTGTCCAGTGACAATTTTGTCAAAAATTTGGTATCCATAGCTATGAGGGCTCATTTCTGGGTCCAATTTACGTTCCATGGCCTGTATGTCTGTGCTTATGACAGCATCATGCTGTGGCTGTCATGATGGCTCTGTACTGTAGTTTGAAGTCACATGTTCCGATAACTCTGGCACCATTTTTTTGCATAGGATTCTTTGGCCATCTGTGATCTCTCTGTTCCCATATGAAGTTTAGGATTTTCCCCTCCCCCACACTAATTCCATGAGGAATGTCATTTGAACTTTGATAGAAATTGAATCTGTACATTAATTTTGGTAGTGTAGCCATGTAAAGAGGTTCGATGAAGGTAGAGAGGAGGAAGAAGCACATGTGTGTTACTGGAGAGGACACTGGTGATGGGGGACACATGTGTGTTACTGGAGGGGACACTGGTGATGGAGGACATGTGTGTTACTGGAGAGGCCACTGGTGATGAGCACTTGTGTGTTACTGAAAAGGACAGTGGTGATGGGGAACATGTGTGTGTTACTGGAGGGGACACTGGTGATGGGGCACATGTGTGTTAATAGAGAGGGAACACTGGGAGCCACAGTGGGGAGAGGAGCTGGAAGTTGGCGAGATGAATGACTGGGGGGAAATCAATCAATCATGGATGAAAATACTGCAGCTAAACCTGTTACTTTGCCTGTTGATGAAAACTGAAAAAGTCTTTTGTTTCATAAAATATCTTGATTTTATTGCCGCTTTTTCCTCTTTTTCTCTGATGAATGGAGCTCAAGTAACCTAATGAATTTCCAAAGCCTCAGTAACTAGACTTTAAAACATAGTTTATTTGTGTGTACATGTATATATATATACACATACATATATACATATACATACACACACACACACACACACACACACACATATGAAAGTTGGTTTCCTCATTCTACCATATGGGTCCTAGGCATCAAAATCAGGACAAGACTTGGAGAAAGGTGTTTTTACTCACTGAGTCACCACAACCTCCAGTACTTGTCAGCAAAGGACTTATGAGTATAACACGTAGCCTGCAGTTTTAATTTTCTGCTAATCTTTTTTGTTGTTCTTTGAGACAGGGTCTCTCTACATAACCCTGGCTGTCCTTGAACTCACCATATACTATGCTGGAGTCAAACTCAGAAATCTGCCTGCCTCTGCCTCCATCATGCTAGAATTAAAGGTGTGCATCACCACTGCCCTAGTTTTAATTTTCCTAACTGTAGTCTTAATGAGTTACTCCAGTTAAACCAACATGGCTTCAATCCATTATGCAAATGTAACATTTATTCCATTAAAATTTGTTAGCATGATTGCATCTCTTTAGTTTTCACAGCACAATAAATTGTGTTGGATGTTCCATTTCTTTGTTTTTTGATTTTCTTATTTTGCCTGTAATGACAACATATTTAAAATAAAAGTCTTTTAAATGGCAGAATAATGTGATAACATGTCCTCACTGATAATTTAATACTTGGCTATAATGAGCTTGTCTGAGAGATTTCATTAAAAACAGCAAGGTGCCTGAACATCAAAACCAAGATGGCTTTAATCACAGAATTATAGTAATTATACAAATCCCAAGATTTTCATCGGACATAAAAGGCTTTCAAGGGCAAGCCTACCCTTTAAACCTGGTACAAATAACTATGCATTGTTCTAAATTAGAGCTGAGAGACTCCTTGGGTCCAGAGAAACACTGGAGAATATATCAGAGAGAAAACATTATATAGTAAACTCTTACAGAAAGTGGAGAAATCAACAATTTTGGTGGAGTGGGGACATTTGTAAGAGGCTTGTCTCCTGGGCAGTGGGAGAGGACCTTCTAGGTGTGAACATCAAAAGGAGCAGGTGCACGATGCATTCGCAACAGTGAGCCTGGATCAGTGCCATGTTCTGCATGCAGAGACTGACTTGGAGCCTCCTGTCCCCACCAGGGATCTGGAGGCGCAGTTTGTCTGGACTCTTTCTTCCCATCAAGACTGGGACACAACACTAGGAAAGGATGTGGCCAAGACCCTAGATTTCTAAGGTTGAGCAAGGATACTATAAAAATAATTTCATTATTATAGGGACTATTTAAAATGCCATTTTCATAAAATGGCAAAGTACAGGCCCTCCTTGATTTAGGGTAGCTGATGTGTAAAGATACACACAGGAAGGCTTTATAAAAATATCCCTAAATCAAAAGATTCGTTTCATCTATTTTTATTGATTCATTAATTAATTTATGGTTATGATGTTGAAGATGATTTACAAAAAGAGAGCACTTCAAAACTAGCACGTCAAGAGATGTTGTCTGAGAGAGAAGGAGAAAGGGGGGCCTTGCGCACATGGAGATGGTGTGCCTGGCTTGCTCCTCCTCTATTACAAGGATTGGGTGTTGGGTACAGTCATTCTAGGAATTTTGCCACTAACTAAGCAAGACACAGAAGTTCTCATTTGGGCTGAAGAGTCATGCCACGCATCTGAGTCCTGACAAGACAGCATCTCATCTCTGTTCTCCTAACCCATCCCTCTCTGTGATAAGGGATGCAGGAATGATTGTGCAGTTTGGTTGGACAGCTGCCGCAGATCCTTCCAGCTGTGTTGTCATCAGTACATTTTGTTTGCATATTTATGTTTTGATTTACAAACATGCTTACACTTAATATCTGCCATAAACAATTTCCATAAATCTTCCGTAAATAGTCAATCAATTGGCTATTGATTGCCGTAGTGAACAAGCCCTCGGTGTCTTAAGACACTTCATGTAACTGAGTGTGGGGCTCATGAAAATCTCAACAACTGTAAGGTTTGTGAACATGTGGTGACCAAAATTACTTAGAAATCAAATGCCCAGTGAATCCGTGGGTTTCTTGCAGTACTCACCCAAGCTGCACAGGGAGACTTTGTGGAAGCTTTGATTCTCAAGATAAAACACATGCACTTTGCACCTCATGGCCTGTTCCACCACACACCAACAGTGAACACCTCAGCCCAGAGTGATGCTGTGAATGGCAGTGTATTTATTGCGCATGCAAAAGTTTCCACTCTGTGGACACATAATGGCTTGATTATAGTAGAAAAAGACTTACAGTATTTTCCTTCTGTTGTTCCTCAGAATGTATCAAGTTAGTGTAACTTGGATTTGATTGTGTTGAAATAATTGTTTTAAATAATTTCTATGTGAGCTTTCCCCTAGGGCTTCATAAATAATAGCTAAGCAAATGTTGACTTAGGATCAGGGCAACGTTTTCAATAATTTCTGAAAAAATCTTTAAATGGACGGCTACTGCTTTTCATTACATATTTATGTAAAGTGCTTTTCTTAGCATCAGTGATTACAGAATCAAAATACTGATCAGTTCTGCAAAATGATGAAGGTGCGTTGCCCTCCTGCAGGATCAGATATACAGCCGCGGTTGAATTATGTCAGGTAACCACATCCCCCTCATTAATATGCACATTTGCTTACTCGGCCATAAATGTTGAAATTATATGAATATAAATGAATTGCTTTAAAATAAATGTATGGTTTGTGATAGCTAAATATTTGATTTGGGTGATTATTTTGTATACCTATATACTTTGGATGAGGTGGAAAGAGGTCCTGACTGGAAGTTCCATTGTGAATGGAAACACTAAAGGTCCCTGTCTTCTGTGTCTCCTCAGGATCCCCTCGTCTTCGGCACAGCAGGAAGGCTATGATGGGAGCAAATGAAAGAACTTGGAGGCGCCACTTAATCGATTGTTTCTGCCTAGAAGATCTTCTTTTGGAAGCAGGAGAGCAGTCTTACGTAATGGTTGACTTCCTAAGGCAGACCACCTTCTAGAAGGAAATGGATGAAATTGGTCCAGGGGACTTCAGAGGCACTGTGGTCTAACCAGGAAAGCCCTTGTGCGGGGCCTTCCCGGCGCCCTGGGATGCTGCTCACGCTGGACGCATGGCCTGCAGCTGAGTGACGATGGTCCGTCGTGGGCTGCTGGGGTGGATTTCTCGGGTGGTGATTCTGCTGGTTCTGCTCTGCTGTGCCATCTCTGTCCTCTACATGTTAGCCTGCACCCCAAAAGGCGACCAGGAGCAGCTAGGACTGCCACGGGCCAATGGCCCCACGGGCAAAGATGGCTACCAAGCTGTGCTGCAAGAGCGTGAGGAACAGCATCGCAACTACGTGAACAGCCTTAAGCGACAGATCGCACAGCTCAAGGATGAACTGCAGGCACGCAGTGAGCAGCTCCGCAGCGGGCAGGACCAGGCCAGCGATGCCACCGGCCTGCGCTCAGGCTGGGATCCTGCACCCAAAGCTCAGGCTGACCTGCTGGCCTTCCTGCGCGGGCAGGTGGACAAGGCTGAGGTCCATGCAGGTGTCAAGCTGGCCACCGAGTATGCTGCCGTGCCTTTCGATAGCTTCACCCTGCAGAAAGTGTACCAGCTGGAGACTGGCCTGACCCGCCACCCTGAGGAGAAGCCAGTGAGGAAGGACAAGCGCGATGAGTTGGTGGAAGCGGTCGAATCGGCCCTGGAGAGTCTGAACAGCCCCGTGGAGAGCAGCCCACACCAGCGTCCTTACACGGCTGCGGACTTCATAGAAGGTTGGCATGCTTTGAGATTCTGGGGGTACAGAGCGGGGATAGAGAAAACATTTTGTCTCCAGGATGACTGGTGGTGAGTTTTATGAGGGAGACACCAGTTTGCTTTTTCAGATGCTTTTTCTTCTCCCCTCTTTCTCTTGGAAACCGCACTAAATACAGTTTAGCTGTTCTGTGTTAGAAGAAGGTAAAACTTCATGCTTTGGAAAGTAATGCGCTTGTCTGGAAAGCATGAGGACTCGAGGTTCAGATTCTCTACACCCAGAAAGGCAGCTCATAGTTTTAGTAAAAGATCTTGTATGAAAAAATCAGGTGGCGAACAATCGAGGAAGACACCCATTCTCATCCTCTGGTCTCCATATGCAAACTCTCATGTGCAGGATAAAACAAAACATAGATATAAAACTCTCAAACCCTAATAGAAGATACGAGTAATTTCATTGTGTCTTTTACCCTAGACACTTCTAGGAACTGGGCTGTGCTATGAGACCCAGAAGAATGCACAGAGCAAAGCATTCACATGGGCAGACCCTGTTGGGAACATGTTGCATGTACTCCGTGTGTTCAGCAGAACCCGTTAGGAGATAAGGGCAAGCCAGGTGCTACAGATCCCAGGAGACAAAGGCAGGATTTGAACCCGAGAAGACTGAGCCTCGAGTGCACATCCCTAACTGCAGTGTCGCGTGTAGATGGTCATAGCTGATGGAAATGGGAGGAGTGGCTCACTCTTTTCAAGGGTGCAAGTCGGTCTGGGACCGACTGTGTCTGTGTCTGATTCTTTAGGAGACATTCTCCTTACCTACTTGGAAGACTCGTTGGTATCTTGTTCTCGCATTATCACTGGTTCTGAAACTTATACTAAATTGAGCTAAGTTGTTGAGGGCATATAGTTCCATTGCTTGACCTTTGGATAGGATCTTCTTCAACATGGCCAGAAACAGAGCTGTGTCTTCTTACCTGTCACCTTTTCTGTCAGGAAACCGTACCATTGCCCCCAGGAAAGACAGTTTCTCATCAGTCAGAACTTCTCCCAGGCAGGGGTGACAGCCAAAATGGTCAAGTATTTGCAGTGGAAGTGTAAGGAGCCAAGTTCAATCCTTCAGGACCCACCCCCCACCACCACACACAAAGCCAGGTGTGACAGTGCACACCTGTAATCCAAGTTCTACGGCAGTGCGCACCTGTAATCCCAGTTCTAGGGAGGAAGAGACAGGAATATCACTGAGACTCACTAGCCAGCTAGCCGAGACTGCTTGGCACATTCCAGGCCCATGGAAGACTCTGGCTTCTGCATGCATGCATACATGCAGCTACACACACAAGAGCACCCATGAAGGTGCTTGCACACATACATACACACATACATACCCCTCTGCTATTTTTTTTGCTTTCTTTATGCACTTGGCTAACTTGTGATTTTTAAAAATTTTATATTTGAGCCATAACTCCATGAAATTTTAACATAGAACCATTTGTCATATACTTAGAGCCACTCAAAGAAATCATTTACATGATCCATCTTTTGCTGAGAGGATTTTTGCAATTCATGTATCTGAGATACAAAAAAGACAGCACATCTCTAGCCACAAACAAGTCTGCTAACAAGCACATGCTGGCATTCAGGAAGAGTTCAGGTTGGGATGAGGCAGCATCACATTTGCTGATGCTTCATAGCTTATGAGCTGCCTCTACATGTATTATTTTACTCGCTGACCCTCGGGGGGGGGACATTAAACATCATTTTAAAGAAACCACTGTTCTGCCACGCTCCCTTGAGTATGCTATAGATTGCTGCCCACGTACAAAGTAATCTGAAAAAAGCTTGATTACAAATCAATGCCTGCAGCCTGGAAAGCTTGCCCTTTTGATTTTCAATCTGCCTTCGTTTTTGAAATCTCCATCTGCCTTTCTTTATCTGGTCTTGCTATGTAAAGGCAGTCTTTCTCAGTCAGCAGGGGCACTAACCCAGGTTTGTTTGCTCTGATACCTGGCTGGCTATCCGTTAGAGGTCCATGGTGTTGGGTCCATGTATAAAACACAAATGATAGTCCCGGGGCGATCAATTCACATGTAGCTTCTGAATTTGATATAAGTCTAGACAGTTATTCTCATGGGCTATATCAATGAAGACAATACGCTTTAAGTATATTTGTGTGTAACTGATGGTCACAAAGAGCTCAGGTTATTTAATTTTTAAATTGTTATCCATAGCGAAGCAATATGGGGGCCATCTTTGTTGGTCACAGGGAGTGAGGCATTTGAGAGGAGTCTACAAGTCAGAGGAAGATGCAGGAAGTAGACTTGAAGTTGAACACAAGGAAGAAATTGAGAAGAGCGTTGCCTCAGAACTGAGTGCCATTCCTGTCACTGCAGGAATGGGCGGGAGTTGTCGATTGCGGTTCTTGTTGCAGAGAGGTGGGTGAACTGAATTATACCTGATCTTCTCCATCCTGGCTCACTTTTCCTTCATCTACACCTATTCAAAATAAAAAAAGCAAATGGGGAAAAGTCCCCTTGAGATCTGTTCTCTACACTGAGTTTGAGCAGTAATAAGGACTTCACTGGGAGTAATATATTTTAAACAACTTATTTGCATTTCTAAACATAACTGGAGAGAAAATGATTTTGTCTGATGTATGACTTTGGTGGTCCAAAGTTGGAGTCATTTAGCAAAAATCATGGAAAATTAAGTTAAACAGGAGTGTTTTGTGTGCTCAGGGGATTTTAAATGAAGTCAGCAAATCTGCCTGCAGCTGAACTAGCAAGGCCAGGATGGGGCTCCTGGTGGGTATACTAGTTTCTTCTGTTGCTATGACCAGATTCTTTACAAGAAGCAACTTGCAAATTGGGCTTACAAGTTTTAGAGAATATAGCCTACCCTGGAGAAAGGAGCATGGTGGGAGGCAGATTCACGACAGGTGGATGCTCCTCAGCTCACATGCTAGTGGACAAGAAGCACGGAGCTTGTGAGCACGTGGGAAGTAGGCTGGGGCTGTAGAGTCTTAAGGCCCTTCCCCAAAGACCCCCTGCTTCCAGCCTGACTCTGCCTCCTAAAGGCTCCACAACCTTCCAAAGATGGCACCTTTCACTGGGGACTTAGTGTTCAGACAAATGAGGCCATGGGGACATTTCCCATTCATACAGTAACAGTACTTAAAGAAATCATCAAGCCATGCAGGATGGATTGAGGTTTAACACTTAGGCCATCTGGGGTTGCTGTGACAGCTCTGTACTTCTGTAAAGCTGGCAGAAGGAGAACATCACACTTCTGCCTACATAGTTTATTGTGTACAGGGCTTATTATTTCTCTCTTAAATCTAAGGGGAGCAGAAGTTATCTCTGTGTTCAGGGTATCTCGTAGGCACTGACGTTTTTGTTGGATTCTCATTTAATAGCATTACTTTTTTGCAGCATTTGGGATAAGAAGCGAACATCAAGCCTCTGCCTCAGAATGTCTAACTGTTCGTCTTCTTGTTCCTTTACATTTTAGTACTTATTCTGTCAGAAGGAGATATACACACGGGCATACCATTGTCATGTGTCTTTGATTTCACATTTCCTTAAGAGAGTCATGGATATGTTTGACATCGTTTCACAAAGCAATTTACCTTCCTAAATCTTCTGCAATCCAAATAAGTGACAGTGGGACCCCTACATGCGCTCTTAGTGTCTGTTCTCACAGTACGGCTGTTCTGTCACTCGCCTGTGACACTCTCCTTCCTGTAGCTACTGCAGGCTTAGTGGCATGGCAAGAGAGTTCCCACGCCGAAAGGCTCAAATTAGGGTGCGATGGAGTCAAACTCTGACTGTCAGAAAGGCTTTGAGGGGGCTGCAATTTGAACGTGCCCCTCCAAAAATTCAGATGGTGACAGTGTGTCAGTCTTGAGGGCTTGAGCATTCACAGATTAAAGCCTCATGAATATGACTGAAGCCTTTACAAAAAAAGGCTTCTTGCACAGCATCCTCTGTAGAGGATGCAGGGCTGCACAGACAATGAGCCTGAGCTTAGGGGGGTCCCCCACTGTGAAGAAGTTCATCCTACCCTTTACAAACTTGTAGTACGAGGGCCGGCTTGTTGGGGTATCTGTCCTGCCTGATACCCCACAGTCGGCATGCCCCAAAGAGAAAATCACACACAGGATTCCATAAGGTTATAAACTGATTGGCCCATTAGGTCAGGCTTCTTATTAACTCTTATAACTTATATTAACCCATTATTCTCATCTATGTTAGCCATAATGGCTCCGTACCTTTCTCAGCTGGGCAAGTTACATGTTGCCTCTTCAGTGGTCTGCGCAGGAGTGGCTGAGGGCTTCCTGTGTCCCAGAATACTCCCAGTCTCTTTGCTCCACCCCTACGTCCTGTCTGGCTTTCCCGCCTATACTGCCTGCCTGACCAATCAGCGTTTTATTAAAATATGATTGACAGAATACAGACAATTCTCCCGCACCACAAACTGTCCTGCTTCAGGGATTCTCTCATAGCTGCAAAACTGACTAGGAGAGAGATGCCCTGAGATATATTTTCAAACCAGGTAATTTGGAGGTTGCTCTATAACCCTGTAGCAAGTTGTTTGGTCAGTCCTGACCTCCTGTCCGTTACAATCAAGACTCTGGGGAGCTTTGGAGTTTTTGAGATCCACTGGTTGTTTGTCACTATGTGACATCTACAGGACACTGTGATCAGTTTGTTCAAGCTGGCTTTGTCAAGTACAATGCAACTCCAGTCTGGAGTTTAGCAACCTATGAGAAGCAATATGCCAAGGACGACACCGGGAAGGAAAGAGGCTCAGCATTCATGTCAGGGACATGCCTCTTGTTAGCCACTTGGTGATGGGGTAAAAATGATACAATATCTTCTAATGAATTGCTGCACATCTGGGGATCCAGTTGCAGAAATAGGGAATAATGGGGATTCTGCACCCTGGGTTACCCTTGACTTATTTTTAGGGTATGGTGATATACCGGGGAGCGGGGATGGGGGTGGGGGGTTGGGGAGAACTG